GGTGTTCAACAATGGAATAAATTTAGCTTCTGTGACTGCTGATAATGATTCCTTAGCAGCAGCAGCAACTGCATTGTTGTTTGCTCTTGGCTTTAACCATCTTATGTAAATACTCAAGTCAAAGTTTGTCATAGCATTTATTCCTCTATACTCAGCTGCAGCTATGTCATAAGCACGAGCAGCCTCTTCTTGGGTACCTATGGCGAGATTAGATGTAACTTTAGTTTATGGAAAAACTAATTTATTCTGTCACTTAATTTGATCAGAATATGTGTATACTCACTGTAAGTCCCGACGTAGAGGTATTTGCTTCCAAAATCTCTTCCAATTCTTGCTTCCCATCTTCCATTGTGATGATGCCTGTAAATGAAACCCAGTAGGAGGTTTACTAAATTTGTCCAAATCAGTATTTTTGAATTTTTCCCTGAATTATCTAGAAGAGTACCTTGCAACACCCCTGTACTTGGATACTTCCCTTGAAAGTCCACTGCTCTTTCTGTGACAAGGGAAGGTAATTCAGAATCTCAAATAATTATTCAGCAAAAGTGGCCTTTTGGGGCTCTTTTATCCGAGTCATTCTGTGATTGGAGTAGTAAACTTGATTAGATGAAGGCATGAAGCCTTACCTTCTTAATGAGGCCAAGTACTCCTCTTTTGTCCTAGTTTGCATTATCAGATTATCTCAACTTCCTTCACATAATCTGTAATCTGCAAGATAACACCTAGGCACTAAGATGATTTGTTTACGTTGTTAACTTCTTTAAATATGTATTTTCATCAAAGTTTTATTTGAGATTACTGATGCATATTCATATCATACCGGAAAATTTGTGTAAGTTGATGTTCCCCAATACTTAAGTGCAGCTAAATCATATGCTCTTGCTGCAGCTTCTTCATCATCATAAGCTCCTGAAAATTTTAAAACATAATTGTCATTCTACCACAGTTCAGATCAGGAGAAAAGGGTGTAGAGGTTTGGAACAGATAAAACCTTAACTTATGTACTAGTGAAGGAAGCTACCCACCAAGATAAACTGTAGGCTCCCAGAAATTGATTCAGAAGCACAAATAAGTTGAAGAACATGAGAATCAGAAAAAGTAAGAACTCCTGAATTGAAAATTTTTCAGAAAAATAGAAATGAATTGCATTAAAGAAAAGTGATTTACCTTCTTCCCCTTTCTTCTTTTGCGTTACATTCCAGGAGAGTTTATCCCACAGGTGAGCTTCATATCGACGGGTCCATCTATGCCTGTCCATCATAGATCAATACAAGTCAGATTAGAGAAAAGACATGGAATTCTCATCTAGAATACTAGAATGCTTTCTTTGCATTTCACTTGCTAACTCCACGAAACCTTGAACTTCTCTTCACAGTGGTTACAGCATTTGTTTGGTCATTTTGTTGTTGATTCTGATTATCATCACAGGCAACTGGATCTCTTCACCGTCTTTTTACACATCTTGCTGCTTGGACCTCTTCCTCTACCATGCACATCCGGCGTATTCCTTGTTTCTGCTCACTCTTTACCATCATCGATTCCATCTCTTGTTTTGTTTCCTCCCCTTTATTCTCCCTTCCTCTCCATGTCTTTTCTCAATGTGGTTGCTTGACCTGAAACTTTCTAGGAATGCATCTGTATATATAACCCCTCTGATAATTTTGGATTTGTTATGTTCTGCTATATTTTTTCTCCAACTAACCATGCTTTCTTTCTAGACAACTATGCCGATAATCACAAAGCAATTTAAGACAAATTTCCACATCCCTACAAATTTTACTTGTCCCTATTTTGTTTCCTCCAAAGATCCGAAAACCATTCTTTTGCTGATCTTTCTGCTTCACATTAGGCCAAAAGCTCCTGCCATTTCAAAAAATGGAGAAGACTTTGGTTGGTCATTCCAATGGAAAAATGACTTCTGTAACATGATTTGGGGCTCATCGCCTCCATACCCCATTAGAAGTAACTAACTAGTGCTGTTGAACAAAGGTTAGGGAGAAACAAACAAATTCCAAAGTAAAAACAAAGACATAAATCAGTAAAAAGCACCATATAACATGTTTAGACTTGGCATTACCAGAGCAAACGAGTCAAATATCAAACAAAAATTTCCTTGGAATGTCCAGATGATACTACATCCAAAATGAAGTCAGTGTTTGTGTTTTTTGTCTAGTTAGAAACTATCAAATATGAACAGTTATAAAAGTGTGATTATGCATATACTGATAACTGATAACTTTTCTTTTAGGCATGAGTTTAGCTCTTGGTTTCTTCGCCAAGTTTGTTATGTTTTCTTCTGTGTTTTGGAATTTTTCAGATATTTTAACCAGTTTCCGCGTTGTTTACGTATATGTGACTTCCCTCAGGAAGTTCTAAATTCATGACGGTTTTTCCTATGGAATCAAATGCAGAAGAAATAATATGCTTGGAAGCATGTAGCATGTGTTTTGTACTGTTTTTTTAATGCAGGTAGGAGGGGAACACAAGAAATTCCTTTGGATTTATTGTGAACAAAAGCACTTTGACAAGGAAGCATAAGCTGTTAGGAGATTGTTGGTTACTTTTATACACCAGAATTTTCCCATGTTACTGTCATAAGTTAGTTGAAGTTTCATGACATGCCATAAAACTTACAAAATGATGTATCTCCCTTCTCTTTATCTCTATCATACCGTGAAGTTATGTAGTAAAGTGATATACACATCAACTTTCTTGATCCTTAAGAGTAAGTAAAGGTTTGCATTTGTAAATATCATTGTTAAGACTAGATTCACTCTAAAATTTTATTAAGTGAATGTCTAAGAAGTTAACGATTTTAACAACTATATCTAAAATAATTTAAAAAAAAAAAAAAGCTTGTGTAGCAATAAACTTCTGCAACATGTTCTGACAAAGTTGTCATGCATTAGGGAAATTGGAATAATAAAAAAGGAGAGAGAACTTAATTGATTAGTATTTTGTAGAGGGACTAAATTGACTAAATCAATACAGTACAAGGATGTCATATAAAATAACCCAATACTAATTTGGCGGTCTGCATCTAATTCTGATCCACAACTGATTACGGGTCGGGTTTGCGCATCTAATTTATAAGCGGGCCCGACTAAGCCCAAATAAACACCGCCTTAATTTTATCACGTGGGCTTTATTCCATCATCTACCCTCCTGTTTGGCGCCACGAAGACTGAAATCCTCCGCCTGGCTATATAAACCCTAATTTATTGCGCTGTGCATTTTCCCCCACTTTCGTTCTCGCTCCTCTTTTTTCTCTCTTAGGAGTTTGGAGTGCCTTCGTTTCTTCTCTCTCGAGTCCTGTGGGTCTCGAACGTTGCAGCCATGACCGACGGTCATCTCTTCAACAACATCTCCCTCGGCGGTCGAGGCGGAACTGTCAGTCTTCTCTCTTCCTCTCTTAATCGCAGCTTAACTTTTGTCTACCGCTTTTCGATTGCTTTCTTTTCTTTGCATTATTAAGAACCCTAATTTGCTTGTTGCCACTGTTTTTCGAGTTTTTTGAGTTTTTCGGCCTCTTTTTTTTGAGATTTTCTGGTAAATGAGTTAGGGTTGTTCTTTTTTTTTAAACATGAGCTCGTACTTTTTGGCTTGTTTGGTACTTGCAGTCTTGTATTTGGCCTTTTTTTGTTATGGATTAGCAGCCTAATATGTTGAGTTCGATTGAATTTTCTAGTTTCTCATGATACTGTCTTCAATCGATTCTTCTTTCTTTATTTTTGGTAGAGATGGAAGCAAAACAGAGGTTGAAATTACACGTATCTGTAATGATTGGTTTTCTATAATGCAGAATCCTGGACAGCTAAAAATTCACGCAGGAGGAATTTTATGGAAGAAACTGGGAGGAGGTAAAGCAGTTGAAGTTGATAAGTCAGATATCTTAGGAGTGACATGGATGAAGGTCCCAAGGACAAATCAACTTGGTGTTAGAATCAAGGATGGTTTATATTACAAGTTCACTGGATTTCGTGATCAGGTTCAATACATCTTGGCTTCGTTTTATCTGTGGTTTATTTTCTCATCCTATGTTCCTCTTGTTGTCTAGAATTTTGAACTACAATTTCACTCATGGGAATCATCAATGTTTTATCCTGAGAACTTCAATATCTTATCTTGTTTTCATGTTTTTCCTTTTGTAGGATGTCGCCAGCTTGACTAACTTCTTTATGAACAATTTTGGAATAACACCAGAAGAGAAACAGCTTTCTGTCAGTGGTCATAACTGGGGAGAAGTTGATTTAAATGGTTGGTGATCTTCATTCACTTGAGTTGTTGGATGTAATAAATTTCCGTTCTCTATTTTGACATTTTCCAATGTTTATGGTTTGTTTGTGTTTTCAAAATTTTGCATAAAGTTACCCTTTATTGTTGTTGTGTTCTTGACGTTGATGCCACTATGAGATACCAAAGCCAGATGTTATGTCATGTGTTTTGGGCAACTTAATACAATCCATTGCAATCTTTTGATGCCTCTAAACTATTGTTTATAACATAGGTGATATCAATGATGTTTTCAATTTGCTGACCAAAAAAAAAAAAAAAATGATGTTTTGGCTTTTGAATTTTCAGCCTGTTACATGAAAGTTATTTCACTTCTTTGTCTCTTTGGCATGGCTATTAGATTTTTTTCACTAAGTTACTATCATGCATATTAGAACTTCATACGTATTGAAGGAGAAAGCATCAACTTTTTACCTTTTCTCTGTCAGCATACTCTAGAGTAGCTTTGGTGTTGAGGTCGTGTTGTTTGGTACTTACTGTGTTTCTGAGTTATTATTTGTGTGCTTTTTTGTGTGTATTTTGCTCAGGTGTCTACTGGTTTCTAGTCATGCTTTGGTCCCATTGTTTCTGATTTTCCTGGGAGTATAATGGTATTAGGCACCAGTCTTTGATATATCAACACCAGTCTTTAATATATCAATATTATTTTTGCAGGGAATATGCTTACCTTTGTAGTTGGTTCAAAGCAAGCCTTTGAAGTATCTTTAGCTGATGTCTCACAGACTCAGCTTCAAGGGAAAAATGATGTTATTTTGGAGTTCCATGTGGATGATACAACTGGAGCTAATGAGGTCAGCAGATTGCTACTGGTGCTTTGTGTTTCAAAAGATTCTCTTTCGTTCTCATGCACTGATAACTGTTCCATCCTGTACTCAGTAGAAAATATCATTCATATAAATTGCTTTAGAGTGATATTCTTATTTCTTGAGTATATTTTTATTTCCTGATGACAGAAAGATTCTTTGATGGAAATCAGTTTCCACATTCCTAATTCCAACACCAAATTTGTTGGTGATGAAAATCGCCCACCAGCTCAGGTGATTTTCTTTTACATTATGCATTAGAGTGATGTGAGTGTAAAAGTGAATTTTTAAGTGATGCCTTGTAAAATGAACTTTGTGATAGGTTTTCCGTGACAAAATTATGTCAGTGGCTGATGTTGGTGCTGGAGCGGAGGAAGCTGTTGTCACATTTGAGGGTATAGCAATCCTAACACCAAGGTAGAATTTTTGGCAGATACATGAGGGAAACATAAAGACATTCATGGACACTCTTTCATGAGCCATTACATATATTCCATTTTATCCAGTTTTAATTGGTTGATTTGCTGGCTCTATAATTTTCATTCCTAATGTGTGACTGATTAAGCATATCTTTATGTAGGGGTCGTTACAGTGTTGAGCTCCATCTCTCCTTCTTACGGCTGCAAGGGCAAGCTAATGATTTCAAAATTCAGTACAGTAGCGTTGTTCGTCTATTTTTACTGCCAAAGGTTTTTTCTTTGCTCTTGATCTCGTGGCCCCTACTTTGCTTATCATAGAAAATTTTAAAATTTTTGTTTCGTAGTGTCTTGACCTGTTTTCTATTCTATGTTTGAATAGGCTAACCAGCCTCATACTTTTGTTGTTGTTACTCTTGATCCACCCATTCGTAAAGGGCAAACTTTGTACCCACATATTGTGTTGCAGGTATGGCTGTTTGAAGTATACTTATCTTCTGTAGTGGATGTTTTCTAGTGCCATGTGCTTATCTGCCCATTGGACCCTTTTGCAGTTTGAAACTGACTATGTTGTTCAAAGTGAATTGTCAATGAGTGATGATCTGTTGAACACAAAATACAAGGACAAACTGGAACCATCTTATAAGGTAATAATCTTTTCCATCTGTCAAATTTGTTTTTTAACCTATCTAAAATTTTGTTGTGCACAAATTTAGTTGCTATTTTTTTATGGTTTAAAAAGGGGCTTATTCACGAGGTGTTTACCACGATACTGCGCGGTTTATCTGGTGCCAAAGTTACTAAACCTGGAAAATTCCGTAGCTTCTCAGATGGTTACGCAGTGAAGTCCTCACTTAAAGCTGAAGATGGAGTGCTGTATCCACTTGAGAAGAGCTTCTTCTTTCTTCCCAAACCTCCAACTCTTATTCTTCATGAGGAGGTATATGTGCTATCTCTATATATTGATTTGGCAGTATCAAATGTCATACATGGATGTTATTTGAAAGATGGCCTTTTTTGTTTTATTTTATTTTTACCATGATAGATTGACTATGTTGAGTTTGAGAGGCATGCTGCTGGTGGCTCAAATATGCATTACTTTGATCTTCTCATAAGATTAAAGACTGAGCAAGAACATCTCTTTCGGAACGTTCAGAGGAATGAATACCACAATCTTTTTAACTTCATAAGGTAAGTCCCACTTCCTTATCCTTGGTTGGTAGGATCTTTCGGCTTTGTATTGAATTACTAATATTGTACCATCCATGCAGTTCAAAGGGTCTAAAAATTATGAACCTAGGAGATGAGCGAGCTGGAGAAGGTGTTGCTAAAATTCTTCAGCATGAGGAAGATGATGCTGTTGACCCGCATCTTGAGAGAATCAGGAATGAAGCTGGTGGGGATGAGAGTGATGAAGAGGTGAGTTGTTTACTTATCTACCATGAACGTCTTCCTAGTGTAGATTAACTTCAGTGTTTAATAATTATTTGGTTAACAAATAACCATGATCAGAATTTAGACAAGTACTCTTTACTTAATTTTCAGATTTTTTTGTCTGTAGACATTTGCAATAAGTTAAGTTCATGAACCATGTCCTGATGCTTTCACTTCTACAGTAGTTTTGTTTCTTTTTGGGTGAATATTTCCATAGTAGTTACCAAAAAGAAGAATCTTTAATATTAGGGTTAACCCTTCCCACCTTGTTTAGCATGCAAATGTGTTTGACTTCTAACTGTTTGTTTATGTTTTTGCTTGGTAAACTTTGGGTCTAGTCACTGCTTGTCTTTTTCTTGATTTTATAAAAATGGTGATGTTCTACAGGATGAGGATTTTGTTATTGACAAGGATGATGGAGGCTCTCCAACTGATGATTCTGGGGAGGAGGGATCTGATGCTAGTCTAAGTGGGGATGAGAAAGAGGCAAGTGATTTTTCTTAATGCATGTAAAGATATATTGCTAAACAATTCAACCTCAGTTTCCTGGTTTTAACTAAAATAAATGCCCAACTGCAGAAGCCTGTGAAAAAGGATCCTAGGAAGGAGCCTTCATCTTCTAAGGCATCTAAAAAGAAATCTAGAGATGGAGACGATGACAGCAAGAAGAAAAAACAGAAAAAGAAGAAGGATCCAAATGCTCCAAAGAGGGCAATGTCTGGTTTCATGTTTTTCTCACAAATGGAAAGAGAGGTGGGCCTCTTCTTCTACATCTTAATTTTGCTAACATATGGTTTACTGGAATTAATAAAAATAGATGGAAGTAACCTGGTTGCTTGGATTAGCTAGAGGCACAGTATAGCAAATGTGTTGTTCCTGGCTTTTGCCAACTAAGAAGCAGGGAAAAAAGTATTTGTGTTTTCTTGAAATTTGTTTAGTATTATCGTGGTACTTGAGAAGAGAAAAGATAAGGTGGGTGGGGGGCATAATGTAGATTTTATAGATTGTTTGGTCGCCATACCTGAGTTCAATGTGTTGCCATTCTTTGAAGGAATATATTATTATTACATTCAGGTCAAAATTTATGAGCTTTTGTAGCAACCTTTCCCAGACCTCATGATAATTCTAATGATTAGGAATGAAGGTTCAAGTGATGACTTTACCATTTGATTGTGATTTTGTCACAGAATGTGAAGAAAACAAATCCTGGAATTTCTTTCACGGATGTGGGGAAAGCACTTGGGGAGAGGTGGAAAAAGATGTCAGGTATGATTGTTTGTCTTCATCAGTTGTTTCCTCAAGTACTCATATAAACCAAAAAAAGGATTGAGCTCTAAGTAAACCATGTGATCTAAGTAACTATGTTATTAATATATAATATATAATGTTGGCATGCAGCGGAGGAGAAAGAGCCATATGAAGCCAAGGCTCGAGCTGATAAAAAACGATACAAGGATGAAATTAGCGGCTACAAGAACCCGCAACCAATGAGCATAGACTCAGGAAATGACTCTGAAAGTGCATAGATTAGTCGCAGATGTCGGAAGATTTGTTAGTCTACGTCTAATTTATCAGCCTCTTTCTTTTGTCTTTGTAAGAATTATGTCAGTTCAAATCTAATTTATTTGCTTAGCTATCTATATTCCATCTTTCTTTCTCCCACACTGGGAAAAAAAAAATATCTCCTGTGAAGATCCAAACGTATCATGGCTTTTTTAGTATCTAATTTATTTGCTTTGCTTCCCAGGTGACAGATTCAAAAGCCAACCAAAATATTTTGCCATTTTATTATGGCTTGTCTTTTTAGTATCTGTGATGTAATGAAGAAATACGTGCTGCCTTTAATTGTACAAAACAGTTAGAATTTCTAACACTTTCTCCCTGGCCTGCAGTCTAGTGCACCGGCGAACCTAGTAAGCCTTCGAACGAAGGATGCTGGCTTCGCTTTTATCATCTGAAGGTTGTTATACGGAAGTTTCATGGTGTTTGTCCGTCCAGAAGGCACAAAGAATGCTCCGTTCATGAACAAATCTCCGTCCGATCGCCATAACCAGTTCTTCCACACTGCTTCCGTGGCGTAATCCCTCTTCGTCACCTCCTTTGCCCTCCTGTCATCTGGAGCGATGAACCGATTTCCCTGGCTTATAATAGTGGGTCGCCCGCTACCACCAATGGCGTACATTTGCCAGTGGGTGTAGTCGTTGTTGACTACGTGGGCGAAACCCCATCTGACCCTCGGCATCCTCTGTATCAGTCCCTTTCCGAAATGGTTGAATGCGACTGTCACCTGCATAATCGAATCTTTAGTGTAGGTATCGCTCGCCCCCAGAAGAATCACCTGCACAGAAACGCCAATTTTAGTTGATTTCAAACATTGCAAGAAGATGGAAGAAATTTTTAATCGGTGAATTACATCGTTGTGATGGGTAAAGTGGCAATTGGAGATGGTGATGGCGGTGGAACCCATGATGGCATCAATCAGTCCATCGCTACACTCCGACATGGAGAGGTGATCCAGCCAAACTTTACTCGACCCAAAAATCGAAATCCCATCGCCGTCGCTCGCAGTTCGGTGCCCGTAATGATCCACTGAGTCCCGAATCATGCCACCGTTAGTTCTAACGATATTGTGGATATGGATGTTGTGGATGATCACATCTTTCACGAACTGAATGGTAATTCCGGCACCGAAAGCAATGTGGACGTTAGCGCCGCGACCGTCGATCGTCTTCTTGTCCGTGACCATCAATTCCTGAGTCAGCTTGATGTTCATGTCGTGGGCAAATATGATCCATAGCGGCTCCTTCTGAATTACACCCCACCGGAGGGTTCCCGGCCTGGGGTTCACAACGTCGTCGTCGGAATTGTCCGTGACAACATAGTACCTTCCATCCTTTCCTCCCTGTGATTGGTGGCCGAAACCCAGAGCGCAATTGGCCAGACGCTTACGGTCCTTGGCCCAGTTTTTTCGGCACCGCCAGCACCGGTCGATCGGGTTGGTGGCCATGCATCGACCATTGTACAGACTCCTTCTCCCTCTATGTCGGCCCCTCAAGTGCCTCCGGCTGCTGACGACGGTGTTGTTTACTCCGTTGAGATCATCACTGCATTAATCCAATTTATTGAAATTACAGTAACAAATATCAATTATTTGTCTTCATTTAAATTAAAATTAATTAAAAAGGAGGGAAAAAGAAGATAATGTGATTAATTCTTACTCTTCAAATCCATAATTAATGGCACCGGTAGTATCTGTTGTGTTAGTGCTTGCCTCTATAGCTCTGCATTCAAATTTTCAACAAAAAAAAAACAAAAAAATAAAAAAATATATTATATAAGTTCGCTTTATCAATAAACTTTAATCTAGACTTTAACAAGTTAATAAAAAAAATTATTGTGTAATTTTGTATCGGATTGTATAATAAAAAATATTAAATGAGGAATGGGCTTGGAATTGCAAAACAAGAACCTTAACAAAGATACTTGTCTTCTTTACATGTCAATTATAGCTTAAACGTTTTTGCAAATATTTGCAGTTGGGCGGTGCTTTAGAGGAACGACGTGGGAATTCTTACATTCTATGCTATTCATGTTTTATTTGTACTTTGTAGGTTTTATGAGCCACCTTCACTTCATCCAAGCATGTGTCCTTTCACTATTTATAATTTGAGGGCAAGTCTTATATTAAATTAACAACTTGATCTGTAAGTTCAGAACACATTAACTCAACACTTTAAAACTATTCATCAAAAAGAACGATGAATGGACGAGAAATTTACTTGTTAACGTGATTGTTAAGGCTAGATGTGACTTCTTCAGGATGGGGATTGTAAGCCTGGAGGGCGTTCTTCCAAGCTTCTTCTGCACGCTTTTGCCAAACCTCATCGAATTCACCAATGTCTGCTCTAAGGCTGGGAATTAAGGTGGCAATGTTGTAGAAGAAGATGAGAAAAACCAGACTCAACTTAGCTACCTCCATTTATTTATTTATTTATTTTTGGGGGGGGGGGGGGGGTGGTGTGGTTTATTGGTTGATGGAAATGGGTTAGTTGAGGTTGAACCTTGATAGATCTTCGTCCGGCCCAGCTAACCCAGAAAAAAGAACCAAAATTCCTAACCTGCCAACATTGGCTAGGCCAAGGAAAATTGGGATCGAAATGAAAACCTGAGAATAGCAGCTATCAGGGACTATTTAAATACAAGGTTAAAAAAATAGAAAAGATCTAAAATTAGTTGCGCATAGAATGGAGAACCAATGAACCATCCTCTCCTCCCAAAACGGAAGGCAGATTTTCCTCACGAAGTCAAGAGAAAGGTCTAAGTAATAAGCCTAAATTTGGGGTATCAGGTGTTCCATGGAAGTCCATGGTCTAAGAAAGGTCTAAGTAATAAGCACAATTGACATGTTCCCCCCATTCAGCGGATATGTTTATAAAGCTTTAAACCAGAGGAGTCTGCCCTCATGTCATGTCCCTAAGTAATTAAGCAACATGACCCTCATGTCTAGACAATATTAGGTTGCCTCTTTATGTTTTTTTTATTTTTATTTTTGCGCAAAGTCAATTCATATTGTTAGAGACTCTAACTAGTTAAGAGAAAGAAATGGTAAAGCTAAAGACCTTTTTTTTCATCACGTGTACACACACAAATGGAAAGTTGTGTGTAGGGGGAGAAGACAAAGATTGTGTAGGAAGGAATTAAAGATTATTAATCTTCCCATGTGATCAGGCAAAGACAATGTGAAGGAAGAGACAACATGGTTTTTATTCAAAAAAAAAAAAAAAAACATTTTCAAAAGTATTTTCATCTCAACACTTATTCTCAAACTTTTGACCATTTTTAGGAAAAATTCTTCTCCACAGAAGACTGTAAATGTCAGGTCCTGTACTTGCAATTACTTCCTTTGCAATTCACTTCTTTATTCCCCTATAACTTCAATGAAAAAAATATATAAATAAAAATAAATTCCTCAAGCAATCTAAATACCTACGCTGACAGGACATACTTTTCCAACTAAGCAAGCAGGGTGTATTTGTTGGAAAATAATTAACATTTCTTTTTGCTACTGGAAAAAGTCGATGTGTTTAGCTATTGTGGATATTTGAATTCTTAATTTTAAATTATAATCAAAGTTTCTAAAGATATAGTTGGTCAAAAGAATGCGAACATTTATCAAAGCTTTCTAGAATTGTTCAATGTCTTTCGATTGCTTAAGATATATCTAAGGTGTGAATGTGATTGTTCAAACAAAATGAATGAATATGCTACTTTTTTATATTTTGATCAAGAAAACTTAAAGCCTATTTGAGTTAGCCTAATATGTAGCCAGTATAACATAACCACAAGAAAACTAGAACCTGCCTTTTGTTCCCCTATCACAAAAATGCCCCTGCCTTTCTACTTCTGATTGTAACAAAGTTGTCCGATCTCCATGTATAGCATCTGATACTTAAACCATAACAATAGGAAAAATCACATACAGTAATGTAGTTGTTTTGTTTCAGATTGTAAATAATGTTAATTATTGAATTCTCACTGAACCATGTTAAGTTCTTAGATTTAAGCAACTTTATGAAATAAAGTTGTTTAACTTTAGCTTTAAGGTTAGTTTGGGGATTGAGAAAACTTCTTGGCTAAGTTTCTTGTTTCTGAAAAAGAAACCAAAGAGAGCCTATATATATAGTTCTATTTGCCAAGTTTCCACAAAAAGGTAGATCAGTCTTGTAAAACCCTCCATTGCCATGATTTCTGGTGAGGATATCTATTATATTGTAGCAGCCACTGTCCCTCTTTATGTTTCTATGGTGTTAGCCTACATATCACTGAAATGGTTGAAGATCTTTACCCCTGAGCAATGTGCTGGCATAAACAAGTTTGTTGCCAAATTCTCCATCCCCTTATTGTCTTTCAATGTGATTTCTAACGCCAATCCCTACAAAATGAACATGAAACTCATTTTCGCCGATTTTATCCAGAAAATACTTGCAGCTGTAGTTTTAGCTGTCATAAGCAAGTTCAGCTCCAAAGGGGGCTTGAAATGGCTCATTACTCTTTTCTCCCTATCAACCTTGCCTAACACTTTGATCCTAGGAATTCCAGTGTTGAAGGCCATGTATGGGGAAGAATCTGCTTCACTCCTGGCACAAGTAATCTTGTTACAGAGTTTGATATGGTATAATTTGCTTTTGTTTCTCTTTGAGCTCCATGCAGTAAAGGCAGCCGCAGACATTGCGCCATCAGTTGTCACAGGTACGCAGGCATTTTCATGAACAGCAATGTACTTTAGGACTTTTTTTATTTTTTTCCTAGCCTTCTTTTTTTCCGTTAATGCATGTCTCAAGTAAGATTCTTCTCAAGAAACATTTTCCAGGGAAACAAACACCGTACCGTTGTTTCATGGAGTAATATATGTCATATCAAATTAACCAACATTTCAATGTCCTCATCTTTGGTGTGTCTTAATTAAGAGGGTCAAGAGGCTCCTCAAGATACAGAAGTAAAAGTAGAGGGTGAGGAAGAATCACAAACCAGGTCACCAAGGCCAAGGAAAGTGGGGAAAATGTTCATTTTCTTGACATTGGGGAAGAAGCTTATAACAAATCCTAACACACATGCAACCTTGGTGGGTCTAATTTGGGCATGCATAAAATACAAGTAAGTATTGCTTGAGAGAAATTATTGATTAAACTGCTGATTAATAAATTGCTGAAGAATTAAAGCAATAAGTAGTTGAAACTTTTGCAGGTTGGGACTGAAACTGCCTCAAATTATTAGTAGGTCAATATCACTATTAGCTGATGGAGGACTAGGCATGGCACTGTTCAGCTTAGGTACGATATATCAACATTGCATGTATTCAATTACCGATGTGAGTTTTGAACATCATTTCCTTTGTGGCAAACGAATTCTGTTCTTGTTCCAAGTACTGAAATCCAACTCCACAGGCCTTTTTATGGCATCCCAGCCTAGCATAATAGCATGTGGGATCAAAATGACATTTGTTGGCATGGTGCTGAGATTCATAGCAAGCCCTGCTCTTATATTAGTGCCTTCACTTGCCCTTGGACTAAAAGGCAACGTGTTCAAACTGGCAATTGTGCAGGTTAGAAAATTTCATTTTTCTTCACTATAAAACTACAGTTCATTGAGGTGAAGCTTAAACCGACATATATGATTGCACTAGCTGCCCCCGTGGGCTGGCAATATGCATTTAACACCTTAGCTCATGCCGAAGTTTAAATCTCTATTAGCACAGTTATAATATTTCTCTATTCTCCCAAAATTTTCCAGTTCAAAAAAATAAAAAAATTGACATATATGATCAAAATTTCAGGCTGCTCTTCCTCAAGCAATCGTGCCATTTGTATTTGCAAAAGAGTATAACGTTCATCCAGAAGTACTAAGCACCGCGTAATGATCAATGCTTAAATCTCAAATTGTGTTTCATTTTTACTGTTTGTGCAGGTTCTGGGAATTGATAATGATGTATGGTTGTTTTGATTGCAGAGTGAGCTTTGGCATGCTTATTGCCTTGCCTGTGGCCTTGGTGTACTACCTCCTGCTAGCATTGTGAAATTCTATTGCAATTTCAAGAACAAAAAAAAAATTACTTACCTAATTAAATTCAATAATTTCTTACCAAGGAAACATAAAAAAGTCATTAGTTAGAGGGAAAAAAAAATGAAGCTTCTTGTATATGTAGATGGAGGTTGGCAATCAATAAAATGTAGATATAGATGGAGTTTATTAAATTTGCTTTGGCTTGTATCTAACTTATATATATTTAATTACTTGAATGCTTTATCACATTGTTTCGTACTTTTTTTTAATTTATAAAATATAAAAGATAACTTTTCTATGTTAAAAAGTTTTTATGTTTTGTTTGAGGAAAATGAAAAAAGAAAGAATGAAAAGATAAATTTTTTAATCAATTAAATTGAATTAATTGCAATAAAAAAATTTGAATATTTAATTATAATTATTAAATATATGAGTATAGTATGAATTTTAATTTTATTAAATTTATTATATAATAATTATTAAATATTTTGATATTATAGCACTGGCCCTTGAGGTCTAGTGGCATAGTCACAGTGCATTCCCCCTTTCCCGTCAGGTTCAAAACCTGCCCTTACAAAATATGTTTAAAAAAAAATATTTTGATATTATAATATCAAAACATTTTGATTTTCTCTCTTCCCTAATTTGATTAATAAAATAAAAATTATCTCTCCCTAAACCAAACATTAAGAATGTTTTCTTTTTAGGTCTTTTAAAATTATGAGATAATTATTAACATCTTAACTAATTTAATAATTATTTTTTTTTGCTGAAAATAAAAGATTATGAATTCAAGTTGCATGATATACGAGTATAGTAGAATAAAGGATGAGAAATGATTTTTTTTTATTGTGTAACTAAAATAAAAAAAAATTGTGAGATAATTATAATTTTATTTAATTGATAAAATTTTAAAATTGGGAGAATTTATTTAATTTAGGGAAAAAATTTGATGTACTAATTTTTTTTAGATGGTAGGAACTAGGAAATTCATTTCTTGCCGGAAAAGTTCAAAAGTAGAATAAAAGGAAAATAAAAATCAGAGAATAATCACGTTATTCTGTTTCCAGAACAACACGTGGTCCAGAGTATTTTAAATGAACGGTTAAAAAACGCAGATAGCGACTGACCAACTAGATCCAACGGTCTCAATGTTTTTTCTGGCAAAATAAAAAATTAAAAAGAAAAAAAAAACCTAAAAAACCCCAAAACCCTCCCGAAAGAAAGGGGCTTTTCTACTATTTATCATTTTCTCCAATTTCTCAGTGATTTAGCAGTGCTGTTGCTCCTCCTTCCTCCTCCTCCTTCGATCGAGATTCCTATTTCAGCCGGAAAATCATGGGCAAGGGGCCAGGTCTTTACACGGAGATCGGGAAAAAGACCAGAGGTAACTAACTCTATACGGATTTATTCTCCAGTGCTAAGCATTTGAACTAGTAATCATTACATCTGCATCTTTTTTTTTTTTTTTTTTTTGTGAATTGATTGGGTAAATTCTTGTTCAATCGTTATAGATCTTCTGTACAAGGATTACAACAGTGACCACAAGTTCACCATCACCACCTACTCTTCCACTGGAGTCGTGAGTTCTTTTTATCCCTTTATAATCTGGTTTTTGCATTTCTGGGTTCGAAATTACTTGTTGTCTTTCCCGGTTTATTTTGATTTGATGATGAATCTTTTCTCTTTGATTATTGGTTTAATGTGT